TGTATTGTATAATACACAAACATATAATTTATTAAATATGTACAGACGTATTGTAATTTTTCTTATTAAATTATGTACAAAATATTAAGTAATTAATTCTCATTGTTACATAGAAATTGTTAAAGATAATTTATAATAAATAAAAAATGCTTATATTTTTTAATTTAGAAATTTTATTTTTCATTTGCTGCCTACGTATGTATATTTTATAAAATAATATTAAATTTTCAATATTAACGAACTATGACAATAATAATTTAGTTTACTGCGTGTTAGAATGTGTAAGTCTTCCTTTATATCAAAATTCTTAACGTTGTATTAAAGAGAAGAATACATTTTGGAGTGTTATAAAGTTAAATTTATTTGCCGACGTTATTCAAACATAATGACGTAAATTAATGTTGATTATTAACAATGTAGCATGCGCAGAGGTTTTATATATAGCTATCATCAGCGTACACGTGCAGTTGGAACAAATGTCAAAATTTAAATGGTTGCGCCTCAACGTGCGACGCGGCGCTGTCTCGCAAAAATCAGGTGGTCGCACTTACCAGCTGTGTATTGCTGCCTTGTATTCGCGATACGCTTACCACAACTTCCAACTGTATACATGCTAAATAAGTATTAATTGCGTAAAATCATGTATGGATCGTGTATTTTACATTTCTTCTCATTTAAAAATCTTTTAAACTTTTGCGATTGTTCGAAAAATCAACAAAAATAACACATGGAGGGACTATTTTTCCGCGGAGTAATATCGGAAAACGTTCGAGCAAGTCAATATTCATTCTGCTTTTTTGCTGTAACAATACATTTGTTTGCGCGAGAAATGTGCCCAATAGAGAGAGTACGAATTTTAAAAGACCCTGAAACAAAAATTTCTTAAAACTCTAGCTCTTAACAATCATCGTTGGACGAAATAATTTTTGCGGAGGAATAATGTCGTGCTGCGAACGCACAGACGCAAGCCAATCCCGTTCATTGGCTGAAGGAAGCAAGCGATTCACACGAATACGAACGCACACTTTTCTACGAATACATATTCACCAACACTGTTACGTGATTTTCGTCCAGACTACAGGATCGTATCAATCTAACCCAATACCCTTTCGATCGTTCAAATACTTTTCGTATTTTTAGCAATTTAATATTGTCCAGTTTATGTTTTAGATGCCTTTACTTTCCAGATCGATCATTCTACGCAAGAATAATTGCTATTCGTCAAGTAGTGATTGATGCAAAACCCCATTGTTGTCAAACGCTTGAAATTATTGCGAAGATCGTTGAAACAATGCCATCGCTGTTACCGTAACAAGACGATCCCGAATGTTTACGAAATTTTTCATCGTTCTACACATTAGAATCGCGAACATCGACGATCCTTTATTAATTATTTATCGTAGAATGAAATTTACAGTCTTTACGTAGCCTAAAGGGGAAGCGAAGAAAGTGGCATCGTAAACGATGTTTAAGCTGCATGCAGCTAATAGATCATTGGAAAACGCGTATAGTTGGACGAATGATACTGTTTATTCGACGAAACAAGAATGCATGTGCGAATTTTGTAGATGAGTGCCAGTCGGCCTAACTACGATCCTGGTGACTCGGTGTAAGTAGTGACGAAGGGAGAGGCAGGTTCGCGCACACACACGCGCACACCGGCGCAGAGCAGGCAGCGAATTTACTCGCCGGCTCTCAACAAGAACGCGTCGACATATACACCGTGCTTGAACGTACCGAGGTGATATATCTGTTATTTATCCTACGGTCGAAGACGAGTTAATCGTGAAAATGGCCGGGGAAAAGCGTACTCAGGATCAAGAGGAAACATCGCTTTCGGGAACGGTGATCTTGGTTGATATCGAAGGCACCACGACCAGCGTGAGCTTCGTGAAGGTAACAAAGACCATGGCCGTGAGGCAGAACGCGCCCTACGGTTCTCGCATTTCACCGGCTTTCCGACTCGTTTTCTGACAGTACCCAATGATTCGAATACATCCCGCATACACATTCTCACGGGGAAATCCGCGAACGATATCGTATCGTTTTTCCAACGATGAAAATGCATGATCGATGCTTTCGCGCGTGTTGTATGCGACTCTTACGGAGCAGTATGCCGGCTGAAATCCAGTTCAGTTTCAGGTTCCTTGTCCGTGAGACAGCGAGTTTCATGGAAGGTAACAGCCGCTGTTTCCTCGAACAGCAACACATTCGCGTCCCGTTGCATCCGATTTTTCACACCGGCATTTCGTACTACATTCGCTCGTTCTCCTTTTTCTGCATAATATCGTAATCCTTCCCCGCAGGATGTTCCAGTGAAAACAAACCGAGCGTGTTTCGCAAAAGTATCGGCTGTTCGACGGCACGTAAAATACGGGTTGCAGGCCATCGTTCCGAAGCGCCTTTTCCGTGCTGAGATTTTTCAAAATAACGGAAATTGTAACGGCGCGTTATGCGATCAAGGGGTTAGAATACTACGAAAACTCGAAAAACCATGCTGTTTTCCTAGAAAAATTCCAATAAAAGTAAACACGCGATTGATACGAGTTTTCGATACTTTATTCAATTACAATGTAAACTGTAACAAATTCGTGGTAGGGCCTAAAAATGCATGTCATTCGTGATCGTACGACGCCTCCGCACAGAACAACCTTTTGGGTGCTTGTTAACTGCATTTTCTCTTCTAGACAGCAACAATGGCATTTCCCCATATTTAAGAAATTGATAGAATTGCTTTTCGATATTTAATGCTAATTTCCGACGATGATTTTGTCCATTTTGTTATTTATATTTTGACAAAATAATTCAAAAGTTTTGAAAATCGATTGTCGGTATCAAAATAAGTCCATATTTAAAAAGTCAGTATACAAGTATTTCCGGTTTCGTACCTCGAAAACTGGTTCGTATAAAAGCCTGGACCCTTTGCATTTTATTTTCGCTAATTCAAAGTAATGTTTGAGCCGAAATTTCTCGATTTTTAAAATTTTGTAGTTTTCTAGCACCGCTAGTTCGAACCGCAAAAAACTTTATACTTTCGGATATATTTATACTCGCCTTCGTTTGCAGGATGTCCTTTTCCCGTACGTGCGAGAGAATTTAAGCAAATATATCGAAAGTAAATGGGAGGATGAAGAATTCAAGAAGGATTTCGAGAAATTAAAAGAACAGGTAAATATTGCAAGTAAAGTGGAAATACATGTTTACGGATTATACCTGACCTATCGTGATAAATAATGTCTTCTCATTTGGTTGGTATTATTGAAAGATTCTTGGAACTTTGGCATACAGAATTCTGTACTATTCAACATAGTGGTAGTAATTGTTTACAGCTGAAGTACAAAGTGTTCCATTATTCGCGTTATATGCGGCGGGAGAGCAATTTTATACGAAAAACTACGTCGAATATAGAAAATTAAAATTTTTACACGTGAGATTTTGTTTTCGAAAAAATCAAATTTAATGAAAAATTTTACAATTTTCTACGAATAGGTATAATGTGTTTACAACAAATCAAGCTGTATGAGTTTAATCACGAATTTTGGAAGGTGACCAATGGCATAATAGGAGAGTGGCAGCTGGTGGTTAGGTAGTAGGAACTGACCTGAGAAGATTCTTTGTTCCAAAAGTTTACTACCCTAGCCTGCACATGTATGAAACTTGAGACTCAACTGACTGTTCACCATGATACATTAATAATTTTGATTTCAATTCTTACTGGAGAAATTATATATATATTTTCTCAATTACCTTTTGGAAATTGTATGCATTTTTTTCAATCAATCATTTCATTTTTATGGACTTAAGAAATTTTTTAAGTACCTTTGTTTCATGTTACACTTTCTGCATCATATAATGGAACACAAATCTAACTGATTCATCTAACCGAATAAATAGGAGACAGTGTTTCAGTTTCGCAAAACTGAATTAGCAATAGAATGATGCAATAGAAGAAGAATGATGATACCCGCGTAGTTGAAATATAGTAGAGACGTTCTTAACGTAGCACACAATACTTATAGTTTTATTGAATAAAATCGACTTTAGAGTTGCAAATTTTTAATATATATGTACAAGAAATGTATAATAATAGTATTTAGATAAGAAATGGTAAATACATTCATCAAGAAAAATTACAAAATTTATAATACAAAACAAAATATGATGCGTTGCACTTTTAATCTAGAACTAAAGCAAGTTCTTTTATTTCACAGTTTCATTTGTACAAATTCTTGAAAATAGTAATAATTATTTATTCCGCAATATGTTTCAAATAACTGAAGCACGTGATATTTTATAAAGAAAAGTTGCTTATTTAAAATTTTTTTTAAATATATTCAAAACAAATTAACATTTTTATTTTAGGCTAAGAAAGATGAAGAAGATAAAGTTGATGGATTTGTGCCAATTGCTGGTGATACAGAAGAAGAGAAGAAATCATTGGTCAAAAATGTATTATGGCAAATGGATGGTGATCGTAAAACTGGCGCATTGAAACAATTACAGGGACATATGTGGCGTGAGGCTTACAATTCTGGAGCAGTAAAAGCACAGTGAGTTATTCATGCGGTTTATAGAAGTATATTTATATTTAAGGTACTCTGTACTGTACATGCAATAGAATAATTGAACAGTATTAATAATATATTTGTAAGTGTGCTACAAATATATACTACATACTAATACACTCCTAAATATTACTATATACTACATATTTACTAACATTAGAATGGTATACCATTAACAATGGTACGAAAATAAAAAATTGTGCAAGTCTATGATATACACGTGATTTGTATACCATTGTCACATGTGTGAGGTGAATATGTTGTGTAAGGGCTCACTTCAGTTTCACGAACACAGAATTAATACATAAACAATTAATAAATTAATTATTTATTAGAATAATAATAAATGAACTATTTATATAGTGTTTATGAAGATGTTCCGAAAGCACTAGAAGCATGGACGAATGACGGTAAAAAGGTCTATGTTTATTCAAGTGGTAGCGTCGAAGCGCAAAAGCTTCTGTTCGGACATTCTGTACATGGAGATTTACTTAAGGTATCTTCTATTTTACAGTATATCATGTGATATTATATATATTATATAATATCTATTCTATATATCTATCTATTCTATATATCTATATATCTATCTATAAGAATATTCTTCATGACAATGTACAGAATGAGTCAACAAGCATTTTCGTCTAAAATAGTTCATTATTCACACATTGATCGTTTTAAACAAACTGTGCTGTCCAAGATAATTCATCGAATTAATACAGTTTCAAACCATTCTTATTGACTCAACTTGTGTGCATATAATGGAACACAGAATAATAACAAGCAATTACTTCAGCATTTCAGTGGTTATTTTGATACCGAAGTAGGCGCGAAGCAAGAAACTAGTAGTTACAAGAATATATTAAATAAAATTGGAGCTGATCCATCAGCTATAATCTTTCTCACTGACGTCGTTAAAGGTTAGTGTCTCACAATGTTTCAATATCAAAATCGTGCAATGATACACACATATAACAATGGTCTTTTTCCACAATAGAAGCGGCAGCGGCTAAGGAGGCGGGTCTAACGGCAGTGCTGGTAGAACGCGAGGGTAACGCTCCTCTAACAGATGAAGATAAAGTATCTTTCACGACGATCAAATCTTTCTTGGACTTAACATTTCAAGCATCTACGAAGAGACAGAAACTAGAGACAACGGAAACGCAAGAGGCAACGGCCAAGGAGGCGAACGTCGTCAACAAAGATACCTGTGAACCCATGGATACCTCGGAGGACGTTGAGATGTCTGACGTCAGTGAGAAGAAGGACGACAAGGTCGAGCCGAAAAAAGCTGAAACTGTTCCAGCGGAAACAAGCGAAAACGCGAAAGAAACGCCAAGCACAGACATGAAAGTGGATGAACCGATGCAAACCGATGCAAAGGAAACGCCGGATACCGATACCGTAACTGAGTCAGCGGTAATAGAGAAAATAGAGGACCAACCGTCAGAGGTGAGTACAAAACCAGTTGTTTCCGAAAACGCTCCTGTTGTAAACAGTAAGACCGAGTCAACACTAACAACATCATCGAAGAGCGAGACGGACAAGTCTGTGGCAACCGAGAAAGTATGTAAACCCATGGACACAGAAAAGGTTACAGAGCTTCCCGCGCCTGTAACAGCCACTCCTACTGCCAGTGAACCCGTGGAACCTGTTGCAACAAGTGAGCCTAAATCAAAGTCTGAAGAAATTCCCGCTAAAGAGAAAAAGACTGAAGAACTCACGCCAACCGCGAAAGAAACAAAGTCTGAAGATAGCACGGTACCAGATGTAAAAACTAACGAGAGCGTGTCGCAAGAGAAGAGCAGTAGTAACAGTGTAGAAGAGAAAGCGGAGGAATGTCCTAAGAAAAAGTCTGAGAAAGAGGCGAGCGAGGAATCCACTGAAAAGGTAGCCAAGCCCAGTACGGCAGAGGCGCAGAAACCGGAGAGCGAGGAGACCACGATGAAACCGAAACAGGAGACCGCGAAAACAGAGGAGAAGCCAGTGGAGAACGGCGATGTCCCATTGACCAACATAGAAAAAGTCACCGCGCCGACGATAACAGAGTCAGAAGCAACCAGTAGCAAAGCAGAGGCGGACTCTGAAGCGAAAAAATCAACGGAAACAGAAACTAAACAGGAAATGGAAACAGAGCCGGTTATTGACAAGGCCGCTAACACGAAAGAGGCAGAAGAAGCGACGGCAACAGCGGTAGCTGCGGCTGCAGCTGTACCTGCGAAAGAAGCAGAGGAAAAGGAAGCAAGCGGCGACGCAACAAAACAGGAGACGAAGGAGAAGCCAGTGAAAGAAGACGTTGTGGTAGATGAAGTGAAGGACACGAATACAGTTGATTCCGAGAAGAAGAAATTAAACGGTACGACGCAGAATGGAGACACCGACGTGCCAGTGTCGGATGACAAATTGCACAGAAACGGACTGAACGAGGGGTCATCGTCTGAAACGGTGAACTCGTCAGCAGCCAGCGAAAGCACATCTGCACAGAACGGTGAGCCAGAGAGTTCCTCCGAGGCGAACGCCGAGTCTATAAAAGTCAAAAAGGTCGTTGATTCCACGGTAGCCGACGGTGCCGGCGAACCTGACGTTGTTCCCCCCGTAGTTGTAGCTGCGACGTCTTAATCTTGTTCTAATACATTTTAAGAAGTCCTTCATACATAACCCCAACCCACAATACTTATCCGCAGGTATAAACTGAAAAAGTTGGCTCCCTACACCTTACATAAATCGTATGACGTTAAAAGAAGTAATACGTTTAATTTAAGAATGAAGTTCATAGGATTTCTATTTCTTCAGAAAAAATGCTAAGAAAAAAATATGCGAAGGGACACGATGATACTGACATCCGCAGCGTGTTTCAGATTCGATTATCTTTCACGGCTAAATAAACTTGGATGCATCATGCTTGTTGATTGTGCTCACCCAGAAAGAGAGAGAGTGAGAGAGAGAGAGAGAGAGAGAGAGAGAGAGAGAGAGAGATGGTCGTAAAAGGTTTTTGTTTCTTCGTATTTTGTAAGNAAGCTGAAACTGTTCCAGCGGAAACAAGCGAAAACGCGAAAGAAACGCCAAGCACAGACATGAAAGTGGATGAACCGATGCAAACCGATGCAAAGGAAACGCCGGATACCGATACCGTAACTGAGTCAGCGGTAATAGAGAAAATAGAGGACCAACCGTCAGAGGTGAGTACAAAACCAGTTGTTTCCGAAAACGCTCCTGTTGTAAACAGTAAGACCGAGTCAACACTAACAACATCATCGAAGAGCGAGACGGACAAGTCTGTGGCAACCGAGAAAGTATGTAAACCCATGGACACAGAAAAGGTTACAGAGCTTCCCGCGCCTGTAACAGCCACTCCTACTGCCAGTGAACCCGTGGAACCTGTTGCAACAAGTGAGCCTAAATCAAAGTCTGAAGAAATTCCCGCTAAAGAGAAAAAGACTGAAGAACTCACGCCAACCGCGAAAGAAACAAAGTCTGAAGATAGCACGGTACCAGATGTAAAAACTAACGAGAGCGTGTCGCAAGAGAAGAGCAGTAGTAACAGTGTAGAAGAGAAAGCGGAGGAATGTCCTAAGAAAAAGTCTGAGAAAGAGGCGAGCGAGGAATCCACTGAAAAGGTAGCCAAGCCCAGTACGGCAGAGGCGCAGAAACCGGAGAGCGAGGAGACCACGATGAAACCGAAACAGGAGACCGCGAAAACAGAGGAGAAGCCAGTGGAGAACGGCGATGTCCCATTGACCAACATAGAAAAAGTCACCGCGCCGACGATAACAGAGTCAGAAGCAACCAGTAGCAAAGCAGAGGCGGACTCTGAAGCGAAAAAATCAACGGAAACAGAAACTAAACAGGAAATGGAAACAGAGCCGGTTATTGACAAGGCCGCTAACACGAAAGAGGCAGAAGAAGCGACGGCAACAGCGGTAGCTGCGGCTGCAGCTGTACCTGCGAAAGAAGCAGAGGAAAAGGAAGCAAGCGGCGACGCAACAAAACAGGAGACGAAGGAGAAGCCAGTGAAAGAAGACGTTGTGGTAGATGAAGTGAAGGACACGAATACAGTTGATTCCGAGAAGAAGAAATTAAACGGTACGACGCAGAATGGAGACACCGACGTGCCAGTGTCGGATGACAAATTGCACAGAAACGGACTGAACGAGGGGTCATCGTCTGAAACGGTGAACTCGTCAGCAGCCAGCGAAAGCACATCTGCACAGAACGGTGAGCCAGAGAGTTCCTCCGAGGCGAACGCCGAGTCTATAAAAGTCAAAAAGGTCGTTGATTCCACGGTAGCCGACGGTGCCGGCGAACCTGACGTTGTTCCCCCCGTAGTTGTAGCTGCGACGTCTTAATCTTGTTCTAATACATTTTAAGAAGTCCTTCATACATAACCCCAACCCACAATACTTATCCGCAGGTATAAACTGAAAAAGTTGGCTCCCTACACCTTACATAAATCGTATGACGTTAAAAGAAGTAATACGTTTAATTTAAGAATGAAGTTCATAGGATTTCTATTTCTTCAGAAAAAATGCTAAGAAAAAAATATGCGAAGGGACACGATGATACTGACATCCGCAGCGTGTTTCAGATTCGATTATCTTTCACGGCTAAATAAACTTGGATGCATCATGCTTGTTGATTGTGCTCACCCAGAAAGAGAGAGAGTGAGAGAGAGAGAGAGAGAGAGAGAGAGAGAGAGAGAGAGATGGTCGTAAAAGGTTTTTGTTTCTTCGTATTTTGTAAGTTGTTTAACTTATTCCATTGATTGTGTTTTCGGCCTGTATTCTTTTTATTTACCTTACTTGGCACGTTTTCTACCGAGAGGATGAATTNAGAGAGAGAGAGAGAGAGAGAGAGAGAGAGAGAGAGAGATGGTCGTAAAAGGTTTTTGTTTCTTCGTATTTTGTAAGTTGTTTAACTTATTCCATTGATTGTGTTTTCGGCCTGTATTCTTTTTATTTACCTTACTTGGCACGTTTTCTACCGAGAGGATGAATTTTTCTAACGATTGAGACGGTGGTATGCATTTTGTATTATGAATTGTCTAAAGATAATCGAACATGTCATTCGCTGTACCAAGTCTGTTTACAAGTATTTCTCATTTTGTCTTCTCTATTTCTGTTTTATTTCTTTTTCTATAACAATTTTACAATGCGTAATGAGATCTTCTTTTTATACTGCCTAAACGGAATGTTATCAGTATGAGAACATAATAGGATAGGAAACTCATCACGGACGGAGTATGCCGAAATACCGAATGTATGTACCCTGTGCCAAATGAATGAATTTGTCTGTTTTTTCGAATCTCTTTTTGTTTAATGCGGTTATATACGTGCGTACAGCGTTCAACGATTCTTTACTTGGTGATCCTTTTTTTTAGTTTAGCATGACAGGAGACTTTTTTTGAGACTATTATGATTTTTAAGACTGAATTGATAATGCCTCGAACAAGTAGCTGGCTTAGACTATACACTATAATTTTTGCATACTCTTTTGTGTACTTAATTTTATAAAACGGATAAATGAAAGATAAACGAACACACACACAGTGATCTTGGAATTACAGGTCTGAAGCCGAATAAGTTGGTGGTCCTTTATTGAACTTGATTCGATCATGTGAAGAAACGTTAACTTATTCGAGTCCCAGTGGCCACAGACGTGACTTACCTTGATGTTTCTATACATCGTATTCCTATTTTTTCTTTTGCGACATTTATTTATCGAATTGTATACAATCTAGTTGGTAATACTTTCAACTACGTTGGACTTACACGCATCACATTCTCCTTTTATTTTTTGTTCTAGTTTTCTTGTTTTTCTTTCTTTTTCTTACATTTTGTATCGTAATCGAATAATCGTCGACGTTCAATCGTTCTCGAATGATTGGAACAAAACGAAAATGAAAAAGCAGCAACAAGAAAAGAAGGAAACGCTAATATAAACGAAACATCGCGAGTATGCGTCGAGCTCTTTAATTATGTATGTGTGATAACGAAAACACTGACTTTTGGAACTCGATTCGCTTTCATTCCTGCGATCTAATGTGGTCTGTTAATGTGGCGATCATTGTTTTTAGGATTCGTAAATTATTCTCCAGATTTAACAAGGACTCGTTTATTTATTTATTATCCATTCCTGCAAAATTGACTGTGATTTAACGATATTAGTAGACATAGGGAAACTTGAAACGACTCATTATTGCTCACGCGTAGCAATCACATTTTGTTTTGGCAGGCTACATCGTATATAACATGACTATTATTACTATTATTCTTCTTATAATTATTATATTTTTTTTACTGGAAAAAAGAAATTCAAACGCGTCCTGTCCGATTCAAGTCACTGTGAAGACAGTAATAGACTGTGAGCGAATCAAAGTTTACACACACACACATATACACACCCATACGCGATCACACTCATTATACACAGCCAAACACACAACATTTACACGATTCTCTTCTTAATTCTTGTGCACTCGATCGTATTTCGTGGGCAACGCTTACTGCTAAGTAAATCCAACGATCCGCAAATGAGAAACATAAACGAGAGATAAACGATGTGCGACGTCAGAGTGTTTTTAGACCTCGTTATCTATAAGTACGTACATGTATAGTCACTAACGATTATATTGTGAGACTCGAAACGAACGCATATTTTACAGGACACTTCGACAAACCTCGCATTTATTTATATAGTGTCCACCGCGACTAGCAAGGGAAAAAAAGGCAAAACGAACAGAAGAAAAACACAGATCATTTCGAATGCTCGATATCAGTTTTTTAATGGCGTTGCACAAAACCCGCCTCTTCGCTCGAGGAGAGGGGGGAGGGACGAACGAACGAACGAACAAACACAATATATAATTAATACGTATATATTGTATTCACGACCCGGAATCGGAAGTGAAATCGAATTCTCGGTGAACTCCTTGTCAATGACACTTATAACAGCCCGGAGGGGGAATCGTATAGCTGTAAGACCGGTGAAGTCGATTCGATTCGAATCGGTTCGGTTCCGACGTGTCCGCCCACGGGGCGGCCGCGCGAAACGATTTCCGATCGGGATCGCGAGTCGAACGAATCACGGTTTGCAAGTTCACTGGAAAAGACGCATGTGTCCTCGAGATGCTCAAACGAAAAAGAAAAAAAAAGCAAAGGAAACGAAAACTGCGATTTTATGGAGACACCCTGTCCTGCGTAAAAAACGGCCACGGCCCGTTGAAACGGACCACCGAGTCCTGGGATAATCGTAAAACTGCCGACATATTGCCATAATAATGAATCTTTTTTAATCGTTCATTTTTGATAACGACTCGTATTTTCGTAAGTCTATCTCGCCTCGCGTAAAACAGATGTGAATCGACTGCCATCGCTGTAATAAAATCGCAAGCCGGTCGGCGACAGGAGGCGGGCGGCCCGCGCCATCGATCATTCCCGGTCGACTTTTTTTCACGGCATCATCCGCTAAGCATCATCGTCTCATATCATCCATTCCTCTTGTTGCGTCGATAGCCGGGGGTGTCCTCGTTGCCGCCGCAAGTCGCCGGCCCCTGTCGCTCGGCTTCCTTTCACGGATGCTCAATGTCAACGAACCTGTGTAGCTTTCTTTGGAACACGTGCGGTCGTTTAATTATTAATAATAGCGTGGTTAATGTTCTAAGTTTAGAGAGCGTTCGGCACCTCGCGGCTCGGCGTCCCCTTCGCGAGATCGAAAATGAATATTTTCGCGGCTTTCGAAGGCCGCGTCACACGACGCTTGCGTGCTTTTTTGGCTAATTTCCTATGAACGCGGGATCCGGACAAGGATCGAGGTAATGACGAATTTCAGCGTCGAGCCGCGACGCGTCGATTGTCGGATGTTTGTAAGTTTGAACAGTGAAAATGTTTCGGTCGCAACACCACCACCACACGTCACGAATCATCGTAGGCCATTCAGAACAACGTTTCATAGAACCCGGCGCGTGATACGGCAGCTCTGATACACACAGAGCGTCTCACGGGGGTGCAATCGAAAAGCGGATGATCCCGGGGAACCGGATCGAGACCGTCGGAGATCGGTGTCGATCGTTCGCGGGGCTCGTCCCCGAGGCGACGGATTTTAAAGACGCGCTCGTTATACGAAAATGTATACTAATAATAATTTATAACGAGAAAGACTATTTTCTTGTAAGGGACAGAGGGAAGTTCCGGGGACTTCTGAATTTCTTTTTGAACCCATATTGTTGCTCGCGCACCGTCGAAACGAGTATCCTCGGCGACGACGGTGCACCGAGGCCGGAAGCCACCGTTCCCAACGCGCCTCGATTCGTTTCTTCCGACTTCTTAAGACGGTGTCTGCCGTTTGTACCGTTTTATTACGAGATACACCCTGTATATGCGCTAAACGCAACGTTTCGTTCCACGTATTTATCAGCGAGGAAAGATCATGCGCACGGTCGCGTGTGGCCGTTTGATTAATCGCCTTGTTATTTATTATTTCACGGATCGAACGGAGATCGACCGATCGGAACTTCAGCCAGTCACACGAATGTGTTGCATTCGATATTTTTTCGAAAATCAGAAACAAAAAAGAACGAAGAAGCGACGAAGTGTCGCCCGTTCCTCGAAACCACGGACACGTTCTTGTGTATCTTCTCTTTCCTCTTTTACTCTTCCGTTTCGAATCAACTCGAACTCGCGGATATGCACACGCAGTTGCGCGGGCTTTGTAATCGGAGGGCGGTCGCGATCAATTTTTCCCGACGAACGCCCAGGCTTACGAAGAAAACAGCTGCCCCCTAAGTTGTATATGCGTATGACACTCTCGTTGTCCTCTTCAAACTATTAGATACCTTGAATAAGACGTTTTTAAGTACCGAGGATAAGGAGTACCGACAAACAATAGCTTCGTAACGATTAGCGAGTTTTATTTGTAATTCATTGGCTATTTTATGTAATACGTCAATATAAGCGTAGGAGAGAATGTACGGACTTAATTGACTACTTTTTAACGATCACCTTCCGGCGCGGAGGCGTCATTCGATTAAGGGATTCTTCCCCCACGGAGAATCTCCGTCGCTTTGTCTTTTCTCGGCCAGGTGTCTTCGACAGACGTGTTTTCCTATTTCATTTTCTCTCGTTCTCTTTTTTTCTCCCCCCCCCCGCCCCTTTCTTTCGGTATTGCTTTATTTCTCGCTTTCTTTCTGTATTGCCTTATTTCACCCGCTTTCTTTCTTTCTCGCTCGCCCTTCGCGGCTTTTATGTTACGAAACAATTGTAGTGTTGTACCGTTTTGCCGGTTTTTTTTCAGTGCTCTAAACGACTAACGTGTGCGTGTGCGTCGTGTGTATGTGTCCGTGCGCGGGTGTGTTTCACGTCGAAGGCACAAAAGATATTCGACATTTTTCAGTTGGTCGCGGGATCTTTAAAAGTACACGCTCATCGGGCGAAACGAAATGAGAACGTCACATTACCGACACCTCCACAGAAACAAAAGGAAATAATACAAGAAAAGATGATGATTGTACACTGTGTACAGACTGAATCCGATGATTCTGTTCTCTCTGAACTCTCGACTGCATACGTAGAGCAAAATAAACGGATTTTGCAACTAGAACCTGAAGAGCCTTAGCATTTCTTTCTTTAAATCGTTCCTCGTGTTTGTATACGACGCACTAGTTCGTTTGATCGAAGCGAGAGAAAGCGTGCGCGCGCGCGCGCGCGCTCGCTCGCGCGTGTGTGTGTGTGAATGGGAGAGAGAGAAAGAGAGAGAAGAGAAGAGAAAGAGTATTGAAATTACCGTCGTTCAAGTCATTCATCATACTTGCAGATTTTGTTTAGGTGTATATATCGTGGTATTTGCATTATTAAACGAAGATTAAGAAACGATTAGCGTCCGTAAACACTAGAATTAAAGAAACAATATAGATATGATTAAAGAACAAAAAAAAAACGTAATGTGTATCGATGTACGTGATTGAAAAAACTTTGAATTGCCCCGGTGTATTGTTTCTGCGAATTGGTTTCACGTTACTCTTTGGCCCGAGCTAGCGGATATCATTAGGCGCAACCGCATTTTCGCCCGATCGATCCTCGAGTGCTAAGTCATTCTACTGCGCGCACTGAACACTATCAATTTTCTCGAGCAGCCGATTCGTTAGATCGAAGTGTGAGAAATCTCGCGGACAACAATTTCCGTTTTGAAGCAATAATACGATGACCGGATGGAAATCAACGTTTCTTTTCTTTCTTTCGACGTAATGTTTAAGAACAAGATGTATCGAATATTTGGTACTTGAAATACATATTGTTCGAATGTATGGGATAGTTGCTTCCTCCTCGATGAATGCCCTTTATTGAATCTTTGTGTCATCCGACATTGAAAGGAAGAGCGAGATTATCGTCGAGATAAGCATTGCCTGCTGCATTTATGTTCAATACAATCAATACAACTTGAGTAATTAGGTTTAAGAATATAGTGGTGAAAGAATGGCGCAAGAATGGTTCGAATTTCACATGGACGAGACAGCAGGACTGAAAAAAGTCGATAAGTTTTTTGAGAAAGAAAAAATTTATCTCTCATGTAAAAATAAATTCGGAACTTGTTTTCACGTTTATTATACGGTATCTCGGATTCCGTGAGTGTAAAACAACAACACGGTACATACTACCTGTATTCTGATAAATGTATTCTAATAATGTGGTGGATTTAATTAATGACGTGGAACAATGAAAACGCATTAGCCAAGCAGTATTGGGTGAGCAACATTAATATTCAATTAATTTTCAAAATGGATTTTTCTCATACAAGAACAGATACGAATAAACTCATTTTACACTTTTACTTTGTTAACATAATTATTGTGTGTAATAACGTTGGGTCTCCTTAACCTGTTAACCAGGTCGTTGACCCGTCTTCCCTGATTAGCAGGTTAAGCCGTAGGGGACACTGAAACAAGGATAATTTGCTGTTTGACCCTGTCCTCGAATTATAATTGCATTTCTGCCCGAATTAGTCGCAAAGTACGATTGAAATTAGTTCACAGAGTTCGACTGGTAGAGTTGTTTCGAAAAATGCTTGGAAAGGTTAGCAGGCTCTAATAACGCGGAGAGGTAGTTTCGCATTCAGATCGGTGGTGGCCATTTTGAGCACTTCGTACGAAGGTAAGCAGCTGTACTCGGGCAGAATACAAAAACGACTCTGTATAACTCAGGAACAAGGTCAAACGGGGCGCACACGGTGGCCATACGAACTTCTCTTTCATTGCTTTTTGTCCTCTCAGTTTACTTCGCACTGCGGTGCCCCGTGTTATGAAACACCCTGTATACAATTAAAGGCCGCAAGCATTTAAACTTTCTCCTACCGAACGGAGGCCTGTCCGTATATAGAAAAAGAAAAGTGTTGTTTCATAGTCGCTTCAGTTCGAAAGGTTTTACTGCACGCGATGCAAGTCTAAGGTTTTTTCGCCGGCACAACGAGGTTTATGTCCACGGCCACGGGTATATGCTTTAAAGCTTATTTCTTTTTACGTTACGAACAATATAACCTCCTCTCCCATTGCTGGATTTCGTTAGACTACGATATCTCGTACGTAGATTTATTAAGTTCTTTTCATCGCGAAGGTTCCGTCTAATTGCACCCTCTATAGTCGGTGCATTTATTTGGTTAAGTGTACCCCTCTACGTTGATTTCCATTTCCATGTTCGCCACAGTTCGCGTTTCGCGTATCGCTAATATAAAATCTAAACGTGGAATGGAACTGCACACGCTGTTTTACGGGGGTATATTAACGTGGAATGTTTTTCTCTTTTATTTTTATCTCTTTTTAAGACAAGTGTATTTATGCATCTCTCTCTCTTTTGTTTATGTTTTAGTTTCGACGGTGATCAGGTTTGATTTTGAAACGACTTCGCTGAGAAAACGCATATTACTTGGCTGTATATATATGGTAAAGTGTAATGTTGTTTCATATTTTCATAAAAAGTGATGTGCAACTGTATTGACGTTTCACGTTATTTTTAATTGCTGGAAATCTTTACTAACAAATACCAAAGATACGCTATTTGTACATATAACGGATATAATATATCTTATTGTCGCCATTTTTATCTCAAAGTAAAGATAATTATGAGGAATATAATAAAGATATATGTCTTGATATGTTATTATATATTGATTACTTAAAATGCATCATTAAATATTTATATTTGATCATATCATTATCTTCTTACGTCTTAGTTATTGAAAATTTGTATGGATAATAATAAAATTTCATTATGTGCTTTTCATCTTATCTCTTTGGTTCTAATTGATTGCTAAAATTTATAGAAAATGAGTATATTTTGGTTGTATAAGGGCGTTTGTATATGAAGTTTGTAGTAAATATTTATTATAAATATCTATTGATAAACATATCAAGGAAACAAATTCCTTTAGATTAAAAATAATTTTTTTTATTGAATTTTTATGGCGGTACATTTATCGGCTGAGTAAATTTCTGAATCCAGAGCTTTATGGTACCGCTACTAGACGGAGCTGCTAGCACTGTTTCAGGAGTTAGCGCAAGGAAAATTCCAATTGCTCGATTTGTGAATATTGAAATGTTAAAACAGTGTGTTTAATAGCATTAGTTATTACATATTGGTTTAAAATATTCAAATATATGTTATAATAATCATATTTAACAATACGTAGATGACTTTCCAGCGTTCCACTCATTTATGTCTATACGATCTCGTCTACATTTGCATACATAATTTGACGTAGTACTGTTTAAAAGGTTACAGTCAAATTTGTTAAACTATATATTATTCCCAGCTGCTATGATAATTCTGTTTAGAAGTAATGTTTATTTAAATTCTAAAGTGACTGTACACTGCAATGTGATGCAATAGGTTAATCGTGTGGAACGCATTTCATACTCGTTGTTATTTTTTTCCGTAAAGAACTCAAGGAACAAAAAACTACCGCATGTGCGCATGCGCTGGCTAACGACTGATATTCAAACTACGCTTCTAATTAAAATTTAAATTCGTATGTAAAAAATTATGCATATCCATTCGTATGGTAAACGTATTTAGTCTTAATCATAACACTTGGTATTAAAAAAGCTTATTTATTGTATGGCTTCTACGTATGAAATTGTTTTATAGTATATTCTGAAAATATGCTAACAGGTTTTGATAATCTCAAAAGTAAAAGTGTAATAAATTAATTGTACATAGTTATGATGTAAAAGTACCATATAACCGGAATGAAGTATTTTGTTCACGACAAATTCGAAATTACCTGCGTTTAATTTTCTAAGTGCGAGAGAAATTGATGACCGATGAAAATTATGAATTTAATATCGCGATATTATTAGTAAAGTATGTGTATGTATACTGAAATATAATTTTATACTTGAATTAATAAACATATTTGAAAAATTCGATACTTCAGAACTTCGTTAATTAAACGGCAATTTTAATTAGCAAAGTGACAGTAATGCCAAAACGTGTATTTTGAGATATCCTATTTGCTAAATTAAATTCGGCGAATTAAACATCGATTACGAAATTTAGTTTAAACCTCCTCGTTCCATACGAATATCGTGTATAGTATAAAGCGTTGTATGAGATTTTAAATTTCGCGGGCCTCTGCTATTACGTTCAAAGTAATGAATTTATGTTTGTCTGTTGCGCTCTTCGCGTATTATTTATTCGAAATATTCACAGATTTGACTTTCAATTATCGGATGTTTCAATTCACACCGGTGATAAACAATTTCAAAGAGAGAACCAATTGATAAGTCCATTCATTATGGTCGCCGCGCCGGTCGATAAATATGTAAATGAACTGCGGAAGGCGGGATTTTTACTTGAAATTTTAAATGCTGCCCTCTGGGAAGCACCGAACCTTCCTTGTAATTATAGATATAGGAGTCCCAGGTGACAGGTATGCGCACTTAAATCAGCATTATTATAATTAAAAGAATAATTAGTATACCGAAAACATATACGCAAAGTATGGCAAATTAAGTTGAAGGTAGAGTCTTGTAAACGGTCCTGCATTTATTTGTATCGTTATTGATTCTGTCGGACCGAATTATGATTCTACCAAAAAAAGGAAAATGATTCTACGTAATTCGAAAATTTCAATACAAAGGCAAATATGCGTCTCGGCATTCGTATCCTGGATATAATTGCCAGATCCTTACTCGTTCTTTTGTTCGAAAACCAATTTTTTAGCAAGAGAAATGCATAGACTTGTACGCAAGTGCGACTCGAGATTGAAGTCGAGGTTTATCCCGATGGTCACGCCGTCGGGAAAATTCTGAACAATGTAGCGAACAGTCCTGGTAACAATATCGCAAGGCTCGAATCGGCGTGCACAACGTCTCCTAAGAGCAGGAGAGCGGAACTCGAACTGTCTTCTTCTTCTATTTGTCGGACTGCCCTCTCATTTGCTGGCTCTGCGTCCCTCTGCGACTCGCTCTCTCTCCCTCTCTCTCTCTCTCTCTCTCTCTCCCCTCCTTCCCTCTTTTTCTCTCTCCTTCTCTGCCTCTGCTTTTCTCTTGTACCTTGTACACGTGTATGGTATCTCTAACTCTGTTCCACTTCGGCTACGTGTATACGATTCTTGCTCCCCGTCTCTCTCCCTCTCCTTCCCTCTGGATAGGATGAGATCGGGCTATAGACGTACACGACAGGATTGGACCAGCCTCTGACGTCATTGCGTGGACCGACGTATCTCGTCGACGATTGTCGAAAGCATGCTGTTCTCGCGCCTATATATCCACCTATGGCAATCAGCGGCAAATTCAAACACACGGCAAAGGTTTCTTTCCAGCCATGCTAATCGGTCGTTCCAATTTTATTACATTCCATCGTTCGCCCAGCAATGACCTGAAAAATCTACTTTCTCATCTCCAACAGGACAGTTTACGAAAGACTCTATGTAAATTTTCGTGGCGAGACTCGGGAAATGGGATAACTCGGGTATAACGAGGAATGAAAGAAGAGCGACGAATTATTAATTTATTTTGTGAAGAGCGAAGCCTTGGCGTTTTAAATATGGATTTTCACGGTTCGCGTATTCTTTACGTATGCATACATACATACGTATATATATATATATGTGTGTGTGTCCTTCGTTTCTGTTCCTCATGTGGTAACTGTCTTGCCGTTTGTGCTCATCACAGAAAGGTCGCGATATACTTTGTAAAATAACTAGAGAGAGAAAACTAATTTTCTTGCTGTTTATTGGTAAAGCTTCCATTATGTGTATCTGAATTTGTGTTACTGTAACCGGGAGGAATTTAATTTTAACTCACGAATATCGTCGCTTTCGTATAAATAGGGAACTTGATTTTTTTTTAGTTCTACAAGAAATTATAAAGTTTCACTACTTTAGCCACGTAAAGATATTTTAAACGGTGGTCTAGATATTTCATACCGAAAAGCCACACGCAGCCGCGCGTTCAAAAAGATTACCCGCCTTCTGAGAACGTAACTCATCGAGCCGTATAGTATGCCTGACGAATTGAAATAACTTTAATGGCGAGATCCCGTGTATAGATAAGACGTAATATTCTACTGTCTTTTAACATTTATGTATGTAATTGGTAGATAATGTTGGTGCTTCAATCTTTTATTCTTAATTCTCAAACCCTCTACGGACACATCGGTTGAACAAATAATTCTAGAAGAATAGTTCACCAAAGTGTGCTTTACAATTGAAATCAGGACATTGAGGCTTATTTATAATTCTACAGATTAAATTATAATCCCATATTTAACAGTACAAATAGACGTACAGTGGCATACAGTAGCAAGATTAGATTAATGCAAGTGATTTTGACCCGTCTGGTAGTTGTAGCGTTAATATCATATTCGCAAAGTACATGGAGGCCCTGAAAAGAGGACAATGATTGGCCTCGCTCAAGATGAATGACATCGAAGTCTGCGTAAGCGACTACGTGCTTCGATACCGAGAAACATCAGTAAGAGTGCTAGCCGTTGAAAACAGCAGAGGTTAGGTACCGCCAGGACGGTGCGTTCCAGGCAGTAGAGAGAAGAGTACCCGGAGAGTGCACCCGGGACGGGTAGGTATACATAGGTAGAGCGCAGAGGCAGAGGCAGACGAGAAGAGACGACCGCTTGAAATCCCTCTCTCCTTCCCGCCTTTCCTGCCTGCTTCTCTCTACCGCCCGTCCGCCATGCCACTACGAGCGAGCGAACGTACAGCTAGGCCGGCACAGTCCTGTAGCCCATTTGGCATTTCCCCAGCTATAGCGGCGGTCCTGTAGCCCATCGTTGTTATCGTCCCGCAGCTGCATAAAGTCGGCTCTGCCTCCCCTTACTCCTCTGTCCCTCTCCCATCCTGTCGACCCACCACCCGTCCACTCCCCTCGTCAGTCTGTTTCGCTCAGCTCACTGCTCGACATCAACGTTTCTTCCTCTATCTCTCTCTCTCTTTCTCCCCCTTCTCGCTCTATCCTTCCTTCTCTTACCAGCCTACCGACCCGATCGTGTCGCCCTCCTTCCTCCCCCCAATCGTATCGTCGGTTCGACCAATCCCCTTCCTTGTCGCCCCATGAGCTCTCTCATCCGCCGCCGTTCACTTCTCTCTCCCACGAGCTTGCCAGCCTGACGTTTCCCCCACCTTTCCTCCTCGCGCTCTCTCTCTCTTTCTTTCTCTCCCACTACCACTACCAACGTCGCCTTATTCTACGTCGTTACCGCGCTATCCCACACACATATAACAACGCGGGGCATCGGTACCACGTTTCTACAGCGACGCGACGGTGGCGCCGCCAGCCAGGGACGCCTCGAAACGTTTTCACCCTCCTGCCTTCCTCCCGCCTCACCGCAGTCCATGTACCGTCGACGACGCCTGATGCTGCCGTGCTGCGGTATATACTCGCGAGCGCCGTCCTTGTCGTTCTATCGATTCCCCTCCCTCCCTTCGCCGTATCGTTCGTACCCAACCTCTTCTCGTCCTACTCGTCATGTACCCCCTCTCACGCTTTTCTCTTCTCTGCGTCTCACTGGCAGCCAGCTTGCCTGTCTGCTTGCCTGGCCAGCCTGACTGCCTTGCCTGCCTTGCTCGTTTGCTTACTTGCTTGCATGCTAGTCTGTCCGCTAGGTTGCTAGCCCGCTTATTTGGCCCTGCCTGCCTCTGCCTGCCTGCTTCGTTCATCCTCTGCGTCGCTAACCTTGGTGGAGAATAACCCGCCGTTCAATTCAAGGAATTATGACGGCCCCTTGCTTCTTTCTCTCTTTTCCTATTTGCTAGCCTCTCTTTCTCTTTTTCGTTCTTTGTCACTAGTTTCCTTCTCGATCTCTCTCTGTCCCTTTCTCGCCGTGCCGGCTTTGAGACGAGCACAGGCTACGATCCTTTCCTTCGCTCGTTGCCGCTCATTCGTGCTGATATTTACGCGCCTATGGGCCCCGTGCAGCATGCGCTGCCATTACGGCAATCTCCGGAAACGAAGCTGCTGCTCGATATAATATCAAACGTGTTCCACGGAGCCGTTCGGTGTTCCCATGGCATGGTTATTAGGCGATTCTTTAAATTTAGCCAAGCATATCAAGTTCCCGGAGCAAATGACGCACAAGGCGATCGTGTCGCGAAGCAAATTCAATTCTCGTTGTCGATGCTGTGCTGCGTCGCGAGAGCCTTGTTGCCTTGCGAAAAGAGCGCCATCGCTCGGTGATGGCGCGCGCGCGCAAGTGAACGGCCGCGATTCGAGGTTAGAACGTTGTAAGATCGTTCTCGGAACAATCTCACGTTTTCCATTGGGCAACTTAGAAAATGTTTGCACACGCGCTGCGTTTAGTAACAATAGTCTATTTTAACTTGCGATCTACCACGTGATCCTTTCTTACAATTAATTCGGCCCGAGCTCAATTTATAATTAATGACGATCCCAGAATAAGGCGCAGTCAAGTACGTTCCCGAACTTTTAATTGGAAATGGATCATGGCAAAACAATTCCGTTGTTCGCGAATTTGAAACAAGGTATATAAATTCCGGCATTGTTTACTATTTCAAGCATTTTCGATAATAAACCTTTAACCGATAAACCTTTGCTTATTAACCGAAGTGGTTGTACTTCGCGTGACAAAGTGTGAAGACACAGTGTGCCGAGTCCGCTGTCTGTAGGAAGAAAATATTTTATATAGCTTCAAATGGTTTTCGATTTAACTGCAGAGTAATAGAATGATGATTTCGTTTTGCGTAACATTACTGAAACATGTATCTCCACAGTGTGACTTAGGACACTGGTTCTAAATATTGGTCGTGCGTTGACAACAACGGACAATAGATTGCAATATTACGTTTTCGGTAACATATTTTCTAAATAGCCTTATTTTAGTATAGTCTATAAGCGTTTTATTCGCAGCGTATCCATAATTTCGCGAAATGGTAAATGCGGGATTATGATAAATAGCGTTGTCCAATTGTCCAATAATGCGAACATGGAAGGACGAGGTCACCTGACACCCGATGAAACGAAACACGTAGCCTAATTAAATTTAGTTCGAATCAGATGTCATCGTATCGGGTCGTAAGTAAGTACAATTGCATTCGTTACTTGATTTGTTTAAAATGTGGCTTCTCCAACGTGGTGAATGAAAGTAGCCTTTATTATTAATAGTTAGTAGCCTTAAGTTATATATAGTAGCTAGCTATATATAGCTATATATAGCTATATTTATATATATTATATTATATTATATATGTTATATACTATATTATATATATTATATTATACATATAGCTATATATTAGCAGCCTTGACATAACCTTTATTATTTAAAAACGAGAACGAGTGCAGCGAAACGCAACTTAATTCGTGGAATTAGAACATGTTTCATATTTGCCACCGAACTGATTTTGTACGGTACCCTAATAAATGCACTTCTATCAACGGTTCGAGCAGCAAGTGGCAAAAATAACGACGTTGTTTCGTATCGTTGTTGCTAGTACACTTTACCAGCTCGTTCGCGAGCTCCGTGGAACGCAAGAAGCACTCGCGCGAGAATGGTCGTGTGCATTTCGAGGAATAGGTGCAGCAATTATCGCTTCGCGTTAATTTTTGGTGGTTTTATAGGGTAGCTGCATTGGCGTAACCAGCCGATGATCGATCGGCTGGAAATCTCCGCAACGTTATCGGCAGGATTAACCCTTGAGATACTCTGTGTCTCGCGGGCCCTTCAGTCACTTGAAATTATTGGCGAGCGCGGTGAGTAATTGCACTTTCAATTGGTAAATTATTAAACCCCGTCGCATCGCGTTGTTGCGCCCGCGTTTTCGCTCTGTTATTGAAATCCACGACGGATATATTTTTTTTCCATTCTCTCTTCCCTTGCTTCTTCCCAGCTGATAAATTCTATATCGATGAATTAACAGAGTAATACACACACACAACCGGCTGAAAAAATCGAATTTCTCCGCACAAATCGAGGACACCGCAACAGCATGAAAATTAAAAATATCATTGTTTCTTACGTCTCTGACAAAAATTAATGAACGCAATATGCGCCTCGTGCATATCAAGCTTTACCACGCATTTTCCAATGGAAAAATTAGCACGTACAAAATCATTTCTAAAGTCTCTCGAAGAAACGCTTTATGATTTACAAAAAATAAAGTCCCAAACGTGATCAAATTTCAAGCCGTATTCCCGTGTCAACGGTAACGCGTTGGATAACATTTATTTTTGCGAACACGTAGAGGCGCGTTATGCGAATTAGCACCGTGCGCCGACGCTTCCGGTCTGCGCGTTGGCGTCGATTTTTTCGGAAAAACGCCGCGGGAAAAACCGGGAAGCATGCCGAGGCGTCCGTTAGGTTTTACGGATGCGGTAAAGTTTCCTTCGCAGACGTCGTGATTACATAAAACGTGGTTCGGTAGCGGCTGCGTTTTACTGCCCGCCGGTCGTTACATCGTTCGTCTGGACGCGTCGAAACGGCCGAGCAACATACAACATTTTTCACGTGATCTTGACCTTTGAACAAAACGATCGGCCTGCCCCCCTCGGCTTCTCCCTCTCCAACCCCGAAGACTCGCAGGGTAGAGGATGCAGGATGTCGTTCGCGCGACATCAGTGTCAGTCACTTGTTGAATGTCGGCCAGCGTGTACGGATGAGCATCCGGCGTGCGTCCTTGCAGTGTTTTTCGCTGCAACTGCGCGCATTCCTCCTCTCCGCCTGAGGTACACGTCGCCCGGTAAACGACGATCGTCGTATAAATACCGGCAGACGACGTTCTCCGTGACATGAGAACGAACTCACCATCGTGGTCGATGGTCCATTATCTTTAGAAATTAATTAAGTCACCGATGATGACTCGATGATCTCTTAAAAGCGGTGTAGCAACCGAAGGGTCCTTAACCGGTAACCACAGACGTTGAAATATTATAATGCTTTCGCAGACGTGGGCTTTATGTTAATTGCACAAATAACACGTTGTGAAAGTATTTGTTTAATCTGTTTTGAATTTCTCTCACAATATAGAAGGTCGGTATTTTCAAAATCAAAGATGAATAGTGAGAATTTCTTAATAAACCGTTCTAAATAGATGAAAATTTTGTCCATAATTCAACAAGTTATTTGGACGAACTTAATGCAACAATTTCTTCTGATATTTTTATTAGAAATGAAAATAATCAAAATTCTATTATAAGGCTTGCGGTGAATAAAGCGTTAAGTCGAGAAATGAATTTTGGGTTATTTTTCTTAGGGATCCGCAGGCTAGCCATAAGATAATACAAGTTCACCTATGTCTTCACGTTGCTGTATAAATTAAATAATTGTTGGCACAGGTTTGGATAGGGCTGCAGTGATGCCAATAGCTCACTTAAGCGTTAAAGTAGCAATTAGTACTGCAGTAGAACCTGGAGCATTATGATTTTTTCTATCCTAAATGCATTTTAGTAATTCTTACAGAATTTTTGTATATGCCCTGACTGTTATATTGTTCTAGGTTTTTCTTTTTGTGGAGAGGCAGAATTAAAACTTCAGAGAATGTAAATCAGCTTCTTTTACAGAATCGTACTACACACTTCATGTTACCACTTAGGCGGATAGCCAATAAATTAGCAAAGTAATCGGTATACTCAATTTTCGTAAAATGAAAATTCATTTAAGTTTAGTTCGCAAATGAATAGTATGCACAGCAGCACACGGATACGGAATTTGCAACATTCGAAAGCAAAGATCTGTGTGTCTTCCTTATCATTAAGTTTTCTGTTTTACCATTCAGTTATTACTCCGGTCACGACAGCCTCTAATTTTTTGTAGCACTACCGCCGTGTTTTGAAGTGTAACTTCGGATTAGTACTATCCGTCTCATCCGCGCGGCTATTGATCTATCTTGCTCACAGTCTACATTCGGTTCGCTGTCCTTGTCCAGCAAACGTTCAGTGGAACAAATTCCCAATTTTAGTTGGAACATTACTGTACTTTGAGCAACTTTGGTAGGTCTCGCTGTTTACCCGGTCGATTGTTCTAGGTAGGCGGTTACAATAGATTTGTAGCGCTAAATTATTACAGTAGAATTCAATAGAGAGTAATCTTGCTCAACAATATCTTTGTTTCTCTATCTCTGCTTCATCGTCGGTATCAAATTAACGCAACGGCAAATAGTTAATGTAACGGGAAGACAAAAGGCTTCCTAAATTTCTTCTTTGAAAACGAAAAATCAAGCTTACCTGAAAAAAGGATATACAAAAGAAACAATTTTTGTTTCTTGTGTGAGAAAGGATCTATCAAGAACAAAAAAAAAAGAAAAAACAATTTTATATCTTGCGTGTTTCCATTCGTTTTAACATTTTGACAACAGAAAGAAAAAGAAACAAATCTTGTTTCGATTTAGAAGAAATGAATTATTTTGTAGATTATAGTTATTATTAGACATTTACGACAAAAACGAATAGGAACAATTTCAAAAAACCGGACAAAAGAAAATCGATGTATCATATTTTCAACTCGATGAAATCATTACAGAAGGGATCGAAGACAGACAGTCGAATCTGTCTGTTACAGTCGACGCAGAAAGTTCTTGTCTCGCACAAAGAACCGCGGTCTAGTTATCGTAACGTTACACGGCCCTGCATTTACGAAACGAATTGAAAAGAGTCGGAAAACGTACGCCGGGATTAGAAGCGAGCGACGAACGATGATCATATAAGTTCGCAATTAAACGCGAACGGTTCCGAGTCATTCCCGGCAAATTCGTACGTGCCGTCGATGACAAGTTGAATTGCAAATTTAATTGGGATTTCGACGTTCCGTTTTCGGGCGGGCGTCGAAGGAGTCTACGTGTTCGCCTCTACGGCAAATATGGGGTAACAAAGTTCCGGATGACGTTCCCCGATGACTGTAACGCGTCTGTCACGGGTCCCATCGTCGAACGTGACGGTCCTGCCGGCGAAAAGATTACGACGGATCCGCCACTGATTTTATAATTACGTTAATGATCTACTCCCCCGCGAATTCAATCTGAAAATGTTTGCGCGCAAGAGTGGTTCCCATGGCCCGGCGGAATTCCTGTAACGCCGGCAAACGCGGGCTCGCGTTTATGTTAGAGAATTTCGACGAATCTACTACGACGGGATTTAATATTCACTTAATTAACTCAAAAGCTCGTATCTTGCGCGGCCGCTCGCGCGACCCGCGTCGCGAGGTTAATTGCTAATGCGTCTCTTCCGGCGAGGGTTTTCTTCTCGCGAAAATTCGCGGCGATCCGATTGCCACGTCCAGTCGGCTGTGGCCTGGAAACCCGCTCTCTGTGTACGAACGCAATTTTTCAAGTTCAATATGAGCCGTTTATTTCGAAAGTGGCGTAAGTCACTTTGTTTTTAAGTCGATATATTTAAGGGTTTGCGTTTTAACACCGTTTCAAAATATGGATGCTAACTTTCGAGAAGATTTACTTGTACTTGTTATCTCAGGATATTGATATTTTTCTCAGTATAAATAATTTCGTATAAACATTAAAGAATTACCACTTTTCATTACGGTAAAGTGACTTATGTCNCTTGTTTCGATTTAGAAGAAATGAATTATTTTGTAGATTATAGTTATTATTAGACATTTACGACAAAAACGAATAGGAACAATTTCAAAAAACCGGACAAAAGAAAATCGATGTATCATATTTTCAACTCGATGAAATCATTACAGAAGGGATCGAAGACAGACAGTCGAATCTGTCTGTTACAGTCGACGCAGAAAGTTCTTGTCTCGCACAAAGAACCGCGGTCTAGTTATCGTAACGTTACACGGCCCTGCATTTACGAAACGAATTGAAAAGAGTCGGAAAACGTACGCCGGGATTAGAAGCGAGCGACGAACGATGATCATATAAGTTCGCAATTAAACGCGAACGGTTCCGAGTCATTCCCGGCAAATTCGTACGTGCCGTCGATGACAAGTTGAATTGCAAATTTAATTGGGATTTCGACGTTCCGTTTTCGGGCGGGCGTCGAAGGAGTCTACGTGTTCGCCTCTACGGCAAATATGGGGTAACAAAGTTCCGGATGACGTTCCCCGATGACTGTAACGCGTCTGTCACGGGTCCCATCGTCGAACGTGACGGTCCTGCCGGCGAAAAGATTACGACGGATCCGCCACTGATTTTATAATTACGTTAATGATCTACTCCCCCGCGAATTCAATCTGAAAATGTTTGCGCGCAAGAGTGGTTCCCATGGCCCGGCGGAATTCCTGTAACGCCGGCAAACGCGGGCTCGCGTTTATGTTAGAGAATTTCGACGAATCTACTACGACGGGATTTAATATTCACTTAATTAACTCAAAAGCTCGTATCTTGCGCGGCCGCTCGCGCGACCCGCGTCGCGAGGTTAATTGCTAATGCGTCTCTTCCGGCGAGGGTTTTCTTCTCGCGAAAATTCGCGGCGATCCGATTGCCACGTCCAGTCGGCTGTGGCCTGGAAACCCGCTCTCTGTGTACGAACGCAATTTTTCAAGTTCAATATGAGCCGTTTATTTCGAAAGTGGCGTAAGTCACTTTGTTTTTAAGTCGATATATTTAAGGGTTTGCGTTTTAACACCGTTTCAAAATATGGATGCTAACTTTCGAGAAGATTTACTTGTACTTGTTATCTCAGGATATTGATATTTTTCTCAGTATAAATAATTTCGTATAAACATTAAAGAATTACCACTTTTCATTACGGTAAAGTGACTTATGTCACTTTCAAAATAAACGGCTCATATA